TTTTATTTCAGTGTCTTCATTAAACGACATAGAAACTATAATTTCATGCTAAAAGGCTTCGTAAAAATCGATTTAGATTTGAAAAACAGCTGTGAGGATTGCATAATGTATATCACTAAAGAATGAGAATATAAATATTAAGTAAAAACATTGGTTATTAATAGACTGATGACCTATGTGAAAATTCCCATTTTCATAGACCGTTTCATGAAAACCAAGGTTAAAGTAAAAATTGATCTCGTTGATTAAGTGATTCTTTATGGTAAAAATAAAGCAAAAATGTAATTGAAATCTGTTATTGTAAACATTTTTTTATATTTTATGTATATAACTAAATTATGTCGATGACTATTAATAACTAAATTACTTTATATAAGTACTTATTACTAATATATATGGACATTAACGATATAAAATAATAATTATTTGTATCTCCCTAATTGTATGCTTCTTTGTTTCGATTTAATGAATTCTTCAATTGTTGGCATAAAGTTTCCTTTCTATTCGAATATATTAAATGCCTAATAAAAATTCGATATTTCAATGTTGAGTTTTATCAATATGATTATGTGTTTCAACAAACATTAATTTAGTCAAATTTTTAGATACTAATTGTGTTAAACTCGGCGCGAAACCGATTAGTGAACAACCATCCCATTAGAATATTTTAATCGACACCCTGAGTACACACGATTAGCCGACCAATTAGCTATAGTTCCACGTACGGAGTAATGATTGGTTGCGTGTAATGCAGATTAAGCAGTGTTTACATGCTTCGGACGTAGCCTACATCCTAAACTTTGTTGTGTTAACTTTATTGGTGACGGACAATCGGTTGAAACAACAATCACTTAGGCGAGAATGTATTTATGCATTAATTGTGCTGTTTATTTTGTAAGTAGATTAGGTCTGTTTCCCAACAAAATCAAACGAATCATTATGATAATTGCAATTCGGCATTATTCTTTTATTTTTAAACTTTTTTTTAAGGAACTTAAGCAACTTTCAAAATAAACAGCTCTATTATATTTAATTACTGTGATAAATATTCTTTATACAGTGTCACCTAATAAATAGATATTAATAAATTCCAATTTAGTTTTTGTTTTTAGTATTTTAAGCAATTTTTCCATTATAATATTAATTACAATACATTAAAATATTATTGATATGGGATTCATGAAAACTGCAAGTCCTTATGTGAGATTACGTAATTCAATTAAGTAATAATGACATTATATTCTTCACATTTTATACAATATCTAAAATGAACATAACGAATATTTGATATGTATTCGGTATTTGAGTTAATTCTTCCATTTCCTTATGTGCCTGCTACAAAACTACGGTAGTTAATGTGTACTTTATACCCGTGTACGCTTTATTCTTGAGTATATTTCTAGAGGATAATTTCATTCGTTAATTTAATTCCAAATGAAACACGCGTCCCTGCAGGGGGCTTGTATTCTCATCGCAGCCACTAATTATTACTTTTACCGAGCGTAATAATCGTAATTATTTTAATATCAATTGAAAATGCAGATACTCGTGTATCTTCCGAGCCACGTAATTATTGTCATTATCATTTCAAAGAAACTGTTTATTAATGAATCGTATCACGGTTCCATTGGTGCGTTCCTCGTTTAATCTTCTTATGTTAAATGAGAAGAGAAAATCCTGAAGAAAATGAGGGAAATAATAGGATAAAAGACACCGCTGAGTCTGCATTTCGATTTCCAGTTACGTTGTCTTTTCCCGAGAGATTGCCAGTGTTAAAAAATTAGAGAAACAGTTGACAATTTTATCATGATTTACATTTTTTTTCAAAGCAACTGTTCATTGTAACAAATACAATCATATAAATTAGAAAGTATTTCTTATTATTATTTTTCATTAGAACAAATGATTATAAAGAAACTGAACTGCTTGTTCACTTTCGATTTTAACGAAGTCTTTAGAACAATAAATATTTTCTCAATTCATTTATCTATTGTATGTTATATTCCTAATCTTTTTAAGTTGACAGTAATTGACAGTATTTATTGAAAAAAAATTAAAGACACAATTTCAAACATATTCAATGTTCTCAGCAATAAATATAGAATAATACTACATTTAAGGGAAGACAATAAATAAATAATGAGTTAATATACTCTTTTAAATCTTTTACTAATACAACTACTTTCACGTAAATTTTGGGCATTTCATGTTTAAGTACCATTTATTTCATTTGGAAAAAATATAAAAATTATTTGACAATATTTATTACATAATTATTTAATACTGTATTTTCAACTTTGTACCCTTGTACAGTTATTGGGTCTACCGGAAAGTTCTACTGAATAATGCCATCTCAAGTTTCGAAAGCTCAGTCAATCTATAAAAATGGAACTCACAAATTACCATCACAGTAGGAAAAGGTCATTAGTAACGATGTAATTACATTGTTCGGTAAATATTAATAAATGTATTGAAAATGTATTATTTTTTTCAATGAGACAATAGACAAAACTTTCCGGTAAACCTAACATTTACGATGACAACAAATATTATTCGATTGGATTCGCTTTGTCGTATGCGTTTCTAAACAGTGTGGAAGTAGGGGTCATCGGTGACCACCATGACAGTAGAGCGTGTTTGCATTCCAAGAACAAATAGATTCACCATTAGTTGCAGAACTGGTATTTGATGCACTATCCGTCTAAAAATATTTCAAATGATTCTCTAAAGCTGCGTTTACATCTAGCGAGCATACATGAACAAATATTGGCAATTGAATACGCGTGAACAGCATTGGGAGTACCAATGAATACGAACAAACGAAAATCAACACTATTTACTGTCTAGAAAAAAATATTGTTTAACAGTACACGTACTGACACTTACACATATTTATTCCTACCGTAACGAGTCAAATAATTGATTAGAAAATGTCTATCACTATAATATTAAATATGAAATGAAGGTACAGACACATTGAAAAACTGATTAATCGGTCAATGCAAGGATTGATGTTGTGGATTAACAGTTAAGTGGATGAAAGAAAATGCAAAATTTTAAGTCGTATTTTAAAACCGGTCATTTGACCAGTCGCGATATGTTTAGTATTAATGGTATGAATTTGAAAAAACACAGTGAAACATTAAACAATGAAATATTTGATGCAAGAGAGCAACACAATTTTTTAAGTATACGCGACCAGTGGTGATTGTTTCGCAATAGAATATTCATGTTCCAATACCCACAGAAAATTAAAAAGTGAATATTGAATGAAATGTTAGATAATATCTGCGAATTGGACCGTAGAAAATTGGACAGCAGCTTGTTATTTCGTTTATGCTTGTATACGCTGCAGTCGAAAAATATTAAATCGTACATGCAGAAGAGAAGAATATAAGATTGTGTATTTTGAACTTGGCTTTATTGTTTCTCTTTAATTATTAAATTTAAATTAAATTAAATTAAATTAAATTAAATTAAATTAAATTAAATTAAATTAAATTAAATTAAATTAAATTAAATTAAATTAAATTAAATTAAATTAAATTAAATTAAATTAATATAATTAAATCATTAAATTTAATGTTAAATTTCAAGTACATTAATGGCCATCGAATTAACAATGATTCTATGAATGGTTAATTCACATTTGACTTTCATTTTATAAATATAACATGAAACGTGTAAAATGTTTCAGATAAGTATATCAACAATACAGTTATAATAATAGTTAGTAATATAACAACATATTAGTGCATGTGCTTTATATATGCAAATATAGAAAAGTACAGCACAGCCTGTACCTGTAGTTTTGAATCCATTATTCAAAAGATAGTGAATGTCAAGCTTCAAATATTCCAGAAGACAGAAGAAAGATATCGTACGTTGACTGCTCTGCATTGATATATTATAATAATGCCACCTTTCAGTATTATCAATATTTTCAATGATTACTTATTATCAATATTATCGATAATAATTTATTATCAGTATTATCGATGAATTTGTTTACAGAAAACATTTTTCATTTTTAATATACATACTTTATTAACATATAATACACTAAAATGATATAAATGATTTAATCTAATGAATACAATCTAAAACGCTTTTATAAAAATCTATATTACTTTCATAAATGAATGTAAGTGCAAACATAATGAAACTCATGAACAACTCGAGTACTATCGGTACTCGATAGTATCGATACTTGGACCGATAAGCACAAGTATACTCGTAACTGGTCAGCAAGTTGATAGATTACAGCAATATTACAGAACAATAAAAAAAAATTTCTCAATTTCTTCACTTACAAGGAAAGGTACCGAAACTGGAAATTCAAAAGATTATGAAATTTTGTACGTAAGTAGAATAAGTCAAGCGTAATACTTTACAATCTTTTTCGTAACAAATTTCACTGCGAGGGGCTAAAACCACCCGTTGAAAAATGCAAATTTTTTTTTCCGTGGATTATCTTGAGAACGTTAAGATATAACGAAAAAGAGTTTAAACAAAAATACATTATTCTTTCACATCTGTAAAATTGTAAAATAAAATTTTTCAAAGTATTTCAATTTTTCAAAATTTTAAAAATAACCTAACTTTTTGAATAATTTTATATTACAGTTTTATAGACATGAAGGAACAATGTATTTAAACTTTGTCTCTCTATCTCTTACTATTCTCAACATAATCTACGGGAAAAAAAATTTGCATTTTTTTCAAGCGGTGGTTTCACCCTTTCAAAGTGAAATTAGGCACGAAAAAAATTGCAATGCATTAGGCTTGACTTACTGTACTTGCACACGAAGTTTCATAATTTTCTGAATTTCCGAGTTTGATACCTTTCCTTGTTAGTGTTCTCTAGTAGGACTTAATGGATCTGTTTAAGGGTTAATTATTGTTTAACAATGCGGTACGTTCGTTGATTCTCGTTTGATACGTGCATGCAAGTACTTATATAGATGTAGCTTTAGGTGTCGAGATGGGTTAAGGCGTACCAACGGCGTATATGGATGACTGGTTACGCAGCGGCAACAAAGCACAATCACGATCCCGTCACGAAACGGGCGCCGCTCGTCTTCGCTGCACTAAAATATCACAATGCTGTGCTGTGTTCCGTTCGCGATAGGAATAACACGACGAAGGAACATGCTACGACAACGAAAGCTAAGACACGACTAACAATACGCACCACGCGAAACACGACCAAGTATATACAATTATATTGCGCGTTGAATGGAATGACATTTCGAATAGGGATGGTGCGTTTTCTCCTATGACAGAGGTAAACAACCTTACTTTTCACTACTAACGACGTCTTTATCTTCGTTTCTTATGTCTAAGATTTCGAAGTGGTGAATAGATTTTTAATTTCCTTTTTCTTCAACTTTTGATGTTTAATTTTTTAAATGACTGTTCTTACAGACTTTTAAATATTTATAATACTTAGGAATATATCATACGATATTATCATTATTATAGGTACTATGCCATGGTATAATATAATTATTCACATATTAATGTTGCACGTTATATTTTTTGATACGTTAATTTTATTTATATTTTATATTGCTTTTTAATATTACATTATCACGCCATCGTATTATTATAACAGAGTCATGTTAATATATTAACACTACTTTCTAAAAACTTTAAAAAATCAGAGAACAGAACTTAACTTAAAAATAAAAAACTTTGTATAGTAAATATAGATTTTCGTGAAACTGTTTTTAGATAAAAAGTATTGGAGAGGTACTCGATGCGCATGAAGTACCACTTACCACATGTGAACCATAGCCTTTTTTAATTAAAAACGTTACAGGTATCAGATAACCTATTGTATTTGATTCAAGAGTACCCTCCATCGACAAACGTAATACAAAAGCTTCTATAATTCCGATTCTATTCCATATCGACTTTTACCATCACTAGAAGTTCGTGCTTTAACTTCCCTCGTGATATTTGGATTTTCAAAAATTTTCATCTCGACAGAAATTCTGTTCCAAACTATGCTTTATTTCAAAAACCCAGTCGGAAAGATTTAATGAAGATTGGAAGATTTTCAGTAATTAATATTATTGATTGCAAAAAAGAACTATATCATTGAATTTTGGAATAAAAAGTAGAAACAAAAATTTACTTTTTCTTGAAGTTTCGTTTATCATTATGTTACTTCTTATTTGAGCCTCTATAAATTTATCAAATTTACGTATTTATGTATCAACAATACATATAAATTAAATTTAAGAAATATAAGTAACAAGAATTTTTCTAACTTGTGAAGTGCAATTTTTATATACGTTAACCTCTTGCCATATGATTTTCTTTGTGACTAAGCTCGACCAACTAATGTTAAGAAATGTTTCGTCTATTGTAAGTGCATATTAAATGTGAAGGTGAAATGTTGAAAATAGCAAAACAGTTTTCATTTTGATCCATGTACTATGAGGAACATTAAGGAACAACGAGGAACATTAAATTAATCCGAAAATCTTCGCCGCGAGGGTGACTCATCATTAAAGGGGAAGAGGTTAATCATGCTACCGAGATTTATTATCATTGGAATTTAAAATGTCTGCAAGAAAGCTTTATGGAAGCTGTAATGGCAAAAAACTGTTTCTTTAAAGCACAGTAGGAGTCAGGGGTACTAGAAAACGTTCTCTAAACGGGTACGACATTCTCTTGGCTTTTACGAAATGATCAGACGCACTACAATGGAAAAGCGAAAACATAATCTATGTTGAAAATGAAAAACGCTACATGGTATAAAGTGCGTAACTCTCGGACAACCAGGTAACTTTTACTTTACTCCAGCTTTAATTAAACTCGGAAAGTGGCCATTGGAAATGGAGCAGAAGGTCATAATTTTATTAAAAGTACAAGAAATACTGCCGTTAATTGGTTCAGTTTCATGGTTTCTGTTACTTATAGAGGCAGAAGTAATCCTTCTTCTCATAAGGATTCAACCAACCTTTATTATAAAAGAAATTATCATGAAAGTAAATTTGAGGAAATTTAATCTTCAAAATTAAAAATAAATTCTCGATATTGTTCTTATTATATCAAGATATAGGGAATATTCATGTATTACGATATACAATATATTATATGCAACATATATTTATAAATACGTATATTACAATATTGGATAATTTAGTTAGACTAAAAGAAATATAATATGATATCTATCGCAACTATATCATAACTATATATTATAATTAAGTAGAAAATAAAACTAAGTAAAAGTCGATTACAAAATGTAACAAAAATACTTTCACAAACATCAAGACAACGTATAAAACTATCGTATACAATAAACTATTCAAATCGTTCTAAATATTCTAACCAATAAATATATTCCCAAAAATTAACAAAAATTAAACATAATATAATATATTCAGAAAAATCAACGATCTAAATGTAACTAAAAAGTTTTTATTATTTCACTAAAATTTCCAACAATATTTTTTCTCTAATTCATTGTATTCGACGTTACTAATTCCTCCTCAAAATCCTCTTTTAATACGCAAAAGAATTCAATTTAAAATTATATGTATGACAAATTGTAGCAACGAATATCGAAACAAATTTGTTATAGGAGCAGAACGAGCGAATTGGAAGCCTTAGAGCGGTCGCACGACTCGTGTTTACAGACGAGCTAGCAATTATCATTCAACTCAGGCGAATTATACGTCTGCAAGTTCTAAGGAGACGAAAACGGGAGACAAGCTCTGCTTATCCGATTACCAAGCGGCTTGTTTCGGCGCAATCAAACTCCTAACCAGCCACAACCGCGATACGATCTTCGATGTGTCTTAAAAGTGCCATTCGCATAAGAACTAAGCGGGAATCTCACCGGGTACGGAGATTTTCCCGCGAATGGGTGAATAAACGAGCTTCGTTTCCTGTGTTCGAGCGGTTCGGAAGGCATTCCCGTCGCCAAACTGTGGAACTTCGATGCCTGCGAACGTAGTTTGCATGCATTTACGGTTATGCAATATATTCTGGCCTTCCGGTTTGTTATGCGCAACTGTACCCAACACCTACCCCCCGGATTGTCTGCTTAAGCAGGAAACATCGGGTGTCTTCATATATCGCGGTGACAGGGAACATTCGGGAAATATTAATTCTACCGCAGTAAACCATTTTCTTATTTCTGTGTCGCGAAATAACAACTGTGTAAAATACAGTGAATCACAAGAGTATTCGTACGCCGTGAACTGTCGAATTTAACAGTACAACTACCGAGCAGTTATTTGACTTTGTGACATTTCTGTATAGAAACCCCAAGAGTGCTTCGGTTGAGACTTTAATGAGTTACAATTCAGTTTGCGTATTATGAAATCGATTTCTTTAACAATTTCTCAGAGAAATGTCTGTTATATATTTAACCACTTGCCCTATGATTTACTTCTTAACTATGATCGATACAATTAGTTTATCATTAATAATTTATTAGTAAAGGAAAAAATGTTAATGCTTATTTTCAGATTCGTCAAGTTCTAGTTAAAAAATTTCATCACGAGTCTAACACAATATTATGTTCAAGGGGTTAATAATTGCAAAAGGAAGAAATTAGGAATGAGTTATTTTGATCCGTCTGGTAGTTTCAGTGTTAAACGGTTGATATCTGTTCACAGTGCAAGTATCACATTTCTTATCAACATAGACTACAAAGTTTACAAACTTATATGAATTTTATTGCAAAACAACACATCAATATAAAGAAATGTAATTTTACGTAAATCGGAACAAAATTGGTCTCACGAGAGTTTTCCTACCTATACCAGTTACAGTAGAAATACAATTAATGTATTAGTAATTAATATTTGGTTTGGCCTCCTTTGTATTTTATAATACTTTTGGGACAATCTAAATCATTCGGCTTGTGAGACTAATTATGTTCTTGTTCACGTAAAATCACATTTTTATTATATTGACATTTATTGATTCAATTCAATTGATTCAATTGATTCAATTCAAACTAAACACGTAGGGCGAGAAATATTGGTTAAAAACAATGAACTACAGCATTACGTGCCGACAACGTAACTGCGAAACGACGTAACTCGGAATAGCACTGTATATTAATCCCATATACTTATAATCGTAATCACGGCACCTATGAGATCAAAAAGATCGAAAAATGCATACATGTGTCCATAGTCCACAATGATAACTTTCGCAGGACGTATATATGCGCCAACAGCACTTAAAGGGTTAAATTTACTGAAACTGGGTCAAGAAGGGCGACATATTCGATTATAAAGGAACCGATTCTACGCGAATGACCAGCTGATCCGGTCGTTCTCCAGTAGGGCATCCAAAAACTCTTAAAACTGTGATTCGCATAAGGATATGCGCGTGTTTTCCGCGCGAGAAACGCATCCCAGATGAGCTCGCGTCAGCTTCTCGGCCCGGTAAATAAGGGAAACCCGGCCGTTCCGGAAACTTCATTGACCATGGAAAGAGAAACGGCCCCGGGACTGGACAGCGGTCACGTTCAGCGTTCGCGGTTATAAAATCCACCCTTTCCCAACCTCGTTCCTAGGTAAATCGTCTGTTCGAGCTTTCGGGCTGTGGCTTATGGACGATTTCTATTCCGGGCTCCACGGATCTGGAAATTTATCGGCAGGGAAACAAGAGGATCAGAAAGCGTGTCTCTTCGCGTGGAACAGCCCAAAGTATAATCGAAGGCCATCGCGATTCTTAAATCGCGATTCAACGTCGCAACTTAGACGAAGAGAAGCCTTAACGATGCTATTCGATTGGATGTTGCGTCGAGTGGTCGGGGAAGAAGTCCAAGAGCCGAGTTAAAAGGAAAACTATACGCGGGAAACCGCATTCCACATTTCCCGTCGAACTTTCTGAGAAATCGCTTGCCAGTTTTAAGAGCCAGTGAACGAATAATGTCGGCTATTAAGGCGCCGGCAAGTGTAAATTCTTCAGTTGCGCTAGATAATTCAGGCAGTTTGAGTGATATAGAACTAAATTATTGTCTTGAAGCGTGTAACGCGGAAGGCTTGTAATATTCTTCAGTGTTTGATCAATTTACTTCTTTGCTCGGGATCTTTCCTTTGTATACATACGTGTTTTACGTTTTTGTTAATTGCGATAATTATTGTATTCCTTTTTGTTTGGAATTTGTATCAAATTGCTAATTTTAT